GGTCCGGGCTGGGGATTCGAACCCACCACCTTAGGTGTACGTGGCTGGCGCCTTAGCCGGTTGAGCTATAGGCGCCGAGCCTATTTTTAAAAATTTCTGTATGGCACAGGGCTGAATTTAATAGTTGATAGAATAGTTTTTTTTTTTTTTTTTGAGACAGAGTCTCACTGTCACCCTCAGTAGAGTGCTGTGATGTCGCAGCTCACAGCAACCTCAAATGCCTCAGCCTCCCGAGTAGCTAGAACTATAGGCATCTGCCACCAACGCCTGGTTATTTTCTTGCTGGAGTTGATGTTGTTTGTCAGGGCTGGGCTAGGTTCCAACCTGCCCACTCTGGCGTATGTGGCTGGCGCCCTAGCTGCTGAGCTACCAGCACTGAGCCAGTTGACTTAATTTTCATACACTGGGTATGTACCACATGTACCTATTAGTAAAAGTAGACCTAGTTTCTTACGTTGACCACCTCTGTATGTTGACCGGTTTGTTATAGTCCCTTGGATGGTCCACTTACAGAGGTTCTACTGTACTTGATTTATAAATTATTCATAGTATGGAGTATAGTTTATCATGTATTAAATTATTAGTCTGCAGTGGAAAGAATTTCATAATGAGCTTTGTCATACTCGTCTTGTATCTTGAAGGTTATTGTTCAGTTCCAGCCTTCCTCAGTGCCGGATGAATGGGGGACCACACAGGATGGACAGACAAGGCCTCGTGTTGTCAAGCGTGGAATTGATGATAACCTTGATGAAATTCCCAATGGTGTGTGACTTAGTCATCTCTATTCTATTTATTTTTGTTTTTTTCCCTTTTTTTAATTAGTCATCTGTATTTTAGCATCATTCTTTAGAATGTTGAAAAAGAAACATAATTGTTAGGATCATCTGACATAGCATGCAGAAATCAGGTAGTTTGGCATAGATCTTTTTTATTTTATATCATTTGTTTTGGTACATAATAATTATACATATTTATGGAGTATATGTTATATTTTGACATATGCATATAATATATAATGATCATATCAGGGTAATTAGGGTATCCATTACCCTAACATTTATTCCTTTGTGTTGGGAATATTTCAAATCTTCTAGCTATTTTGTTTTTTTTTTTTTTTTTTTGAGACAGAGCCTCAAGCTGTCCCCCTGGGTAGAGTGTCGTGGCATCACAGCTCACAGCAACCTCCA